AAAATAATAAAAATTTTGAAAATATCAAATCAATATTTTAATTTCTAAAGGTCGCTAAAAGTTCGTTGGTATTTATATTCAGAGGTCGCTCGAAAACATTCAAAATACTCTACTTTGAAAGTTAAAAAAATCTTGAGCGACCTTTAGAAATCAAAATATCCATTTGAAATTTTCAGAATAATTATTATTTTTAAATTAAAAAATAATATCGGAACGAGAAAAAAAATTAAAATAAAAAAAATCCAATTTTTGACGATTTTGGAAATTTTTAAAAATCTTGAGCGACCCCTAAAAATTTTTTAATGGAGCTGATCTGTTGACAGGGCTCTTAAAACATGACAAACCAACATATTTTCACAAGAGACTAGAAAAAAAAAATATTCTTATTTTTTTGGGCCACCCTAATATATATAGATATTTTCCACGTATACACTTTTGCTTGCAAAAGGACGAATATGTGGATACAGATTCAAAGCTTAACGGCGAATACTCGTTTACTTTGATGTTGTATAAAATACCGACAAACCACGGGAAATACACGAGCACTCTACAAACACCAAAATTTGTCATCGGCAAGTAGCGACGAACCCGTCCACACTACTCGGCATTCGGCGAGCAATCGCTCGGTACTCGCCGAATGCCGCATGTCTGGCGCCGCCTTTAAATTTCTCGAAAGTTCTTATAAGGTTTGATTATTTTAAATTGTTAGACTGTACTTTGCCTATGAAAATCACGAGCTATATATAGCTATAGCTATAGTTGTATTTATTTTTTGTTATTTATACCATACAAGGTATTACATATTATGTAATACATAATGACTACTAGTCATTGACTAGACTATTTTTTTCTTACGCACAATGACTAAAGGACGTAAAAATCACAATTTTGCTACGCTATTTATATATTGCTAAGAGATTATAACGATAAAACAGACGTTATTATTTAAAGAGGTTTTTAATCCTTAAATTGCATACTTAAGTTTAATATAGGTACCTATAGGTATACCTATATGTATACATATATATAGTATACTTTAAGTAGATTTTTAAGTATAGGATTTAAACCATGCCTTTATAGAAATCTGTAGTTATTTTTACCTATCCCGTGCCTATACTTTTTTTGTGTGCTCATAATATAATTCTAGTTATTTTCAAATTATTATACACCGCCGTACAATAATGAAAATACATTGAAATTACAAAAGAAGAGTGGTTCCATCTATCGCGTTCTGCTTGAAGACAACAAATGCTTCAGCAGAGGTGTGCTATTATTTCATAAACATTCAATCAAATATACAGGGTGTCCCAGGTTTAATGATATTAATTTTGCCAGTCGGTAGAGATCAAAAAACAAAACGAATTTCCAAGGAAAACATGTATCAAAAAATTGAAAATAACTGATATACAGACCCCCAATTTTTTAAATAAAAAAATATTTTTTTCTCATAACTTTTTAACTTTTGAAGTACAAACAAACACTGTTTACTGAAATGTCATTAATTTTCAAATGTATGCTATGGTAAAGCGAACACTTATTACCCATTTTCAAGTACCTAGGTATGAATTCCATATCCTACACATGGGTGTCTGGAGATGTTTTTCAAACATTCAAACTCGAATATTTTTGTATCGAAGCGTCTTATCAAAAATTTACCGTAGTAACTTTATTTCCCTAATTGAACACAGAATTTAAAAATAGTGTCAGTATTTTAAAAAAGTCAGTGGCGTAAACATAGGTCGGAAAAAGGAAACCTACACCATCAATATCTATGCCACTGGAGTGCCTTGAAAAGAATTGTTATAAGCAGTACGTGAGTCAGTATTTCCCAACTATATACATAAAATTTCAGCCAAATTAGTGAAACGGTTTAAAAGTTATGGGAAAAAAACGATTTTTAGTTTCAAACTTTGGAGATCTGTATCTCACTTATTTTCAATTTTTCGATACATGTTTTCCTTGAAAATTTGTTTTGTTTTTTGATTCTCTACCGACTGGCAAAATTAAGATCATTAAACCCGGGACACCCTGTATATATACTACTGCTATAAAATGGATCTCCAAATTAAAAAAATAGGCTATTTTGTTTGTCCTTTATTTTGCTTTTTATACGGACATTTTTTGCTTTTTTGTTTTTAATGCTTAACAAAAATTCCAAAACCTATGATTTTTTGCGACGCCAAATTCCCAACAAAAATTCCCAGAACTTGGGAGTTATTAAAAATCTTCAGTAATTACTGACAACTTAAGTTGTTGTACAATTTCCAAAAATTTAAAAAATTTAAGAATTTTTCAAAATCTTGCACTTTTTAGGGGTGTTACCAAATTTATATCTGTTTTTTGCTTTTTTAGTAATTTTTGCGACGTTGCCAAATTTCAGTAAATCTTCTTGCCCTATTTAGCGGTGTTGCCGAATTAATAAATATATATTTTTTGCTTTTTTTTTGTTAATCAAAGAACCTAGGATCAGAAAAACTTGGGAATTTTTGTAAATTTTCTGTTAGTCCTCTTGCAATATTTAAAATTGTTGACAAAGTTTTTTTCTACTTTTTATTTTTAAATTTTTTTTCAAAAAATTTCCTGTTGTTGACAAATTTATAAAAACTCTCAGAACCTGGGATTTTGTAAAAAAAATTAGGACTTTGTTACTTTTTCATTTGGATTGAGTTTACAATGTTGCCATATATGCTGCAGTTATTTATTGGCCCAACAAATCTTAACAACTCTTTGTGCATACAGCCTTGGTGCAGTAAATCTAAAAACCGTTACTACCGGGTGCTTAAATTGCACCTATACCTTCACTCAACGCCTATACTATAGGTCTTAGAGGTTATATACCTAATTAAAGACATTACGCTTGAGTTTACAAAAGAAATGTGTTTATTAAAATTTAATGATACTCATATACCTACCGTATACGCTAGTAAAATAATGAATAAACACAATTGTGTCGAATTAAACAAAATATTAATAGGTATTTTGTTTAATTCGAACACTGTTCAACAATCAGAACGAAAAATTAAGCAGGTCAAAATTCTCAAAATTTGTTTTCTGCTAGGTACATATTTTTTAATTAAAATTATAGGCTTCAGGTAAAATAGCAACAAACTAATTTAAAATCTGCTTTAATGCAGCTTGCCTTTGTGAAATCTTTATTTACTCTTATAATCAACGAAGTAAGATCATTATCACCAATCTACTCTGATTAACATTTAAAATTAATTAGGTACATTTTTTTCTCGGAATCGCGTAAATGTGTCTGAGAAATAGCTGCTCGTTAACGTTCTGCTACTGATTTCTTTAAATTTAAATCAGCATAACGACTAATATTCAAGTAATTTAACTGTGTTTTTTCAGCCGAAAAATTAATGATCTGTGTAATATCATAAACAATAAAACTGGCTTACACTAAATTCAGCTTTAAATTTATTTTTATTAATATGTAATAACCTCATAAATATAAAAATATTTATTTTTCATAAAACCTCATATCGTCGCCTTCAGGAGAAAATTGCTTAACTCCATGTTGTAAAATTTTACAGGAGGAAGGAAAAACATATTAAAGGTGTATTGGTGTATCTCCACATTACCGCCAAAAAATTGTTTAATGGAAAATTACGTATCTCCAATATGTACTTTATGTTAATAAAAGTAACCTTAAATTATTCATGGTACCTTAACTTTACACACTATACAATCTTTCATACTTACATACAGAAAAAATAACTAGGCAATAACTTATACTTGTCAATGGCACTGATTTGTATATTGGAGTTAGGCATTATTCCCTGGACGCTCCTCCACGATTGGAGATACGTATATTTCTTTTTCTAAATTTAAAATTAACGGTTTATTTTAGGACTTCTGTAACTTGCATATAAATTAGTTACAGTTTTATCTAACAGATGCCACTAAAATACAATTTTAATGAAAATGTGGAGTTACGTGATTTTCTCCTGAAGGCGACGATATATAAAAAAACACATAACAAAGTATGTCACATTAGACTGGGCCAAAAAAATTGACTAATTTTTTTTTTGAAAAATATATCGAGAATGTCATTCAGAATGACAAAAAAAATATTTCGTGAAAATTTGAGCCCTTAATATTAATTTTAAGAGGTCTATCATCGCTATTTTTGATTTTTAGTCATAATTTGATGTTTTACGTTAGAACTGTCAAAACATTAAACTGAAAAAAATTCCTTGTCACTTATTTTTATATAAAATTAAATTCTCTACAAAAAAGGTCTGATTGAAAATTTTCGTCAGACGAGCCGTTTCCGAGTAATTGAGCCTAATAAATCGATGTGTTTTTTCGATTTGCCCTTTTTACTTTGAAATTTTGTAACTAATGAATCAATGAATATTTTAAAAAGCTCACGTCGGATTCTTAAAGGAAATTTAATGTTCTACAAAAAAGGTCTCCTAACATTTTTGCCTAAATTTAATTCTTCAAAAGTTATTCACGAAGAAAAAATTCAAATTTTAAGTTTTTCTTCGATTTTAATCGTGAATAACCTTTGAAGAATTAAATTTAGGCAAAAATGTTAAGAGACCTTTTTTGTAGAACATTAAATTTCCTTTAAGAATCCGACGTGAGCTTTTTAAAATATTCATTGATTCATTAGTTACAAAATTTCAAAGTAAAAAGGGCAAATCGAAAAAACACATCGATTTATTACGCTCAATTACTCGGAAACGGCTCGTCTGACGAAAATTTTCAATCAGACCTTTTTTGTAGAGAATTTAATTTTATATAAAAATAAGTGAAAAGGAATTTTTTTCACTTTAATGTTTTGACAGTTCTAACGTAAAACATCAAATTATGACTAAAAATCAAAAATAGCGATGATAGACCTCTTAAAATTAATATTAAGGGCTCAAATTTTCACGAAATTTTTTATTTGTCATTCTGAATGACATTCTCGATATAGTTTTCAAAAAAAAAAAATAGTCAATTTTTTTGGCCCAGTCTAATGTCACATACTGTATGTCACATACTGTATGTGCAAAAGAAAACCACTGGCGCCATCTATGCGTAAAACGTCTAACCTCATTTGACAGCACTCGTCCTTGTTTACAATTTTATAAATATTTAAATTAGAAGGTTATGTTTACAAATAGCAACAATGTCTGTAATAAAATGAGTTAAATAAACACTACCACTATTTGCATGGCAAATAAACAAAGTGAAAAATGCACAAGGAATTTCGTATGTAAGTTTAATCTTATTAGTATTCAGAAGATGTTTAATATCTATTGACGTTTTAGCATGATAGAATTGCATCAGAAGTTATGAATTAGGTATGGTTTTATTAAAGAAAATATGGAATTGGTTTTAACAAGGAAAATACTCATTGCTTTGATTATATTGGCTGGCATTTCTTTGTATGTTTCTTTCATATTTAACTCCTGTCTGGTTACAAGCATTACAAAGGCTTTACCTAAGGTGAGTAAGTTTATACTAGTGTATTAAGTTACTATGCATTAAATTGAAGAAAAAAAAGTGAGGTTAAAAACGTTTGACAGATGTCCGATTGGGAAAAACTGCATTCTGTTCACTCATTTATTAAAAACTTCCCCCAGTACATAATTAAAATCGTGTACCTATTTAATCACTAGTTACATAATAATATTATTATTAATTAGTATTGTGTAACCTGCTCTTTCCACTTTAACCAAGCCAATTTACCATAAAAATGATCAAACGAATAAAAAGTTTAATACATTATAGGTGATTGTTCCAGTCATCGGCCACTTAAGAAAAATTTTAAATGCAGTTTTATACTGTTTGGTGAAATAAAACTGTGGCATCAATGAGAGAAACGTGTGAGATCCCCTGTACACTCTAGTATCTGAAACTGTCATTGATTTTTGGCTATCTTATAACATAAAAATACTAATAATGAAAATTTCAGAGTGTCCCACTTTCGCTAGTGGTCGGCCTCATATATCCTAAATTCTGCCACATAAATGCCTATAGTCGGCCCGACCAGAAATGGTATACATGAATACAGAAATTTACTTGTTTTATTGTCAAAAATATTCACAGGAAAACGTACACATAAGTACAAAAATTAAATACACAAAAATTCAAAAATTAAATTGTTTTATTATCCAAAATCGTAAAAAACAAAACTAAAAAAAAATTAAAAAGTAAAATACCTATGCAGGTACTCATTAAAACTTTTTTCCTTTGTTTAACAAAGGTGACAAATGAAATTTTCAGACTTCACTTATGTGTGTATGACATACCGTCCAATTTGGTACACTGCAAATGATACCATCGAGGGCAGTTATCACAGCCAACATTCTTAAGACCTTCTTCTTCAGTGTCGCTTATTAGTTCAGTATCACATGCACAGCAAATTTTCTTTTTTGGTATCACATTTTCAGTCTCAGTGTTTGTAGCGACTTTATTTCTTTTTACGGTTTTCTTTTTTTTAGGTTTAAGTTTTGGAGTGGCTTTCTGGGCCTTTATTGTTCTTTTGCGCACTTTCTCTTCTTCCACCTGTTCCTTTATGTCCGATTTTCTTTTCAAATAAAGTCGAAATTTCTCAGAGGAAATTGCTGAAGGTTGTTTTTCACGTTGTTTTCGCTTTCCACTTGCTTTCTTATTTATAGGTCCAGGCCAAAACAAGTGAGATTGGAAGTTCTGTTGATTTATTTCTGCCACTGGAATTAAAATATCTTGTAAAATAGTTACCTACTTTACTTTTTTCCGTTGGTTGTTGGCCAGCTGCTACGGTCCTACTTGAAGTTAAGTTAATGGTCGCACCTTCCTTCTCCATTTCTTCTCCAGAAATTCTAATATCTGTGAATAACTTATCTATTGCTTCTTGCCTTTTACACTTGGTTTTTTCATATGCTATATTTTCATTTTTTGTTGCATCATCATTTGCATTCAAAAAACAATCTTCGAAGTTCTTGGCAGAATGTTGTTCTTCAAAACCAGCATCGAAGATCTCATCTTTATTTTTATTATTCTCTCCTTGATCAACCTCAAGTGCATGTCCAGGCAGAAACGCATAGTGCACTTGTTTCATCCCTTTAGATTTATTTGCATTTTCATATTCTTGCGCCTCACACATGTCAATGTCCTTTGATAAACTGGAGCCACAGTCTTTTGTTATTTGTTCTTCACCCCTTGTGGATGACGGCCAATCAAAAAACTTCCGTCAAATATTAAGAAATCACCATCACACCTTATTTCATTAGGATTGTTCCCTGCTTCATCAGTGCCACTTGTATTTGCCTTTTCATCTGTACTTAGAGATTTTAAACCACCATTTTCTAAAACCTTATATGTTTCTTCCACGCCATTAGCGCAGTTGTATTTCAGTGTCTGTATTTGAGAAATAACGCTATCCAGCGATGAAATATTATCTTTTAGTGTTGATTTTAAATGAATTAAAACTCTTTCTGTTGTTTCTAAATCTTGTATAGAGATTTTATTAGTCTTACTGGTATTTATGTCCAAATTCTCAAGTTGATTCTGGATACATTTAGTGTAATCCACAGCTGAGGGGTCAAAAGGGTAAAGATCGCATTTCCTAAACCCATTAATTATGCTACCCTCCAAGGACGTAGGTACATACTTTTAAAAAGTTCTTCAAGCACAGTACAAAATTTTGTTTTTGTCAGGACACAGTTTGCATTCTTAGGTTTAGCTTGCCATTTTTCAACGGTCTTTTTCCCCGTCTTTAGCGGCTTGAAGACGCTTACATCCGCCGGTTGCAAAATGTGTGTCGTATTGGGCGGCAAAGCGTACAAAATTATTTGTCGCTCTTCGCAGAATGAACTTAGTTCTACTGGCCATCGATCAAAAGTAGCACAGGTCGCTTAGTGTTTTGTTCTTCCAACCATTTATCTACACCATTTGCGATATATTCGTAGAACACCTCAGATCTCATCCAACCTGTGTCTGATTTTCCAATGAATCATTCAGGCGGTACACTAGAGATGACTGCTGCAGGTATTCGCACATAGGGAAAAACTACCATAGGGTTAAGCGTCTTTCTGTTGGCCGAGAATACCAAAAGAACAGTTGATTGATAATATAGAGATTTTTCCACCCTTTGGGTGCAAGAACTTTTCCTGTTTTAGGACATAGAGAGAAACTAGTCTCATCTCCATTTAATATTCGAGATGGATTCAGTATGTCAGCTGCCCCAACAGTCATGAAATAATTTTGAAGTTCCTCAAACCATTTTAACATACATTCTTTAGTAACAGCTGCTCGTGCCTTTGTAACGCCCTCGGCCTGCCGTAGTGACAATTCTTTGTGCCTTGCCAAAAACCTTCTATACCATTTTTCGCCAGGGCAACTATTCGCAAACGGGGTCTTTCTCTTTTCTTTCACAATTATATTTTGTACCGAATCCAGTAAATCATTCTTTTTCTGTGGAAATTGCAATAACCATTTAACCAACTCGTTTTCCTTCTCTGCAGTTAATATAGTTGGGGGGGCCATTTTGCGAGGCCCTTCTGCAATTCTCCCATGAATTCCATCCTGCAAAGTTGTCCGCGGTACTGAAAATTCTTTAGCTACTTTCCTAATAGGTTGCCCATTTCTTATTGCTACCAACGCATCTTTTAATGACTGTTAATATTTATGAAATTGTCGCTTTGGATGGTCTGCCATTATTTAAGTCTGCAAATTAAAAATAAAATCAAAGAAAAGAGGCCGGGAAAAAGTTCATTGTGCCAGTAGTCGGCCGTCTCTATTGCATGCCGGGTGCACCCGGCCGACTACTGGAAAATGTAAACGTGTCGATGGTCTGCGCTATTCGTTTACATCAAAGCATAATAACCTTAACAATGAGTCCACATAAAGCTCAAAATGATTATGTCACACATTTGCCAGTGGTCGGTCTCCAGGGCCGACTACTGGAAACGACTGGTAATTCGTACCCAGTAGTCGGCCGCCTTTTTTAGTATTGTTTTCGCGGTTTTAGACCCATTTTAAGGTTAAAATTTTTAAAAAACAATTTGTACTAAAACGAAATAACACTGGAAAATGCTAACTATAATTCCCTTTATGATCCAGGAATTCTTATTTTGTAACTACCCTTTCCTTATGGGAATTATAAGATTTACTTACCAGTTGTCGTCCAACCCAACATCACTCGAGTAGCGCACACATACAAACTTAAGAATTAATTAGGTTAAAAACGAGGCTTTTGAAAAAGGCGCGAAGGAGACCCGGTCGACTATTGGGACATATTATTTTAAATAAAGGGACTAACGGAAACCTTGTTTTAGAAACTTTTACATAAAAGTGGCCGACTATTGGGTGAGGCCGAAATTAAGCGCACTCACCCCTATATTAATTTTTTTCTAGGTACTCATATTTAATATTATTGACAGCATTTGGGTTTTTTTCGTAAATAATGTTAACCAATATAACCGCCCGGCCTAACAAGGGGAATATATAACAACGTGAATAATGAGTTCAATATTGAACTCATTATTCACGTTGTTAGGCATCAGTGATTGGATGATTTTAATATTCACTGTTATTTGAACCAATCAGGTTTTAAATTGGGAAAAAGTAAGGTTAACAGATGTCAGATTTGTTTATATATACGAGCGGCGACTATAATGATCTTTAAAATCGGGAAAAAGTGCATTTTAAGATGTTTTTGAATTTTTTATTTTTTTTTTAAGTTTATAAATTAGTAACTGTTTTAAATAAATTTAAATTGACCTGTTATTTTGAGATATTTTTTATTATACAGGGTGTCTCAGGCTAGGTAAGGGTGAATTCTTCTTGAAATAACAAGACGAATTTCACTTCACCATTTTTTTAAACTTCCCAAATTGCTGCAGTTTTTATTGACTTGTAATTTGGTTGCCTACCTACATTAGAACAAACACGTAGCCCATCCGATAGATGGCGGCTTTAAAAGTCTTGGTTAAAGTTGAAAGATCACAATACTGATTTTTTTTATAGTGGCGCTCACACCCTTTGGTGCTCAAAGAAAACCGTATATTCCACTACACGTCAGTAAGAGTGGTATCACTGATAGAAGGCAATGAAACCGACATATCACCGAAATATAAACTCTTTAAAGAGCAGGGTCTGCAACCTTCGAGACAGCTACCCAGCGCCCTAATCATAGGAGTGAAAAAAGGCGGTACTAGAGCTTTATTAGAATTCATACGCATCCATCCGGATGTCAGAGCTGCCGGTAGTGAGGTGCATTTCTTTGATAAGAATTACATAAAAGGTTTTCAATGGTACAGAAGCCACATGCCCAGCACCTTAGAAGGTCAGTTGACTATAGAAAAAACTCCGTCGTATTTTATCACCAAAGAGGCCCCGCACAGAGTGCAACTGATGAACCCCTCCACAAAGTTGCTTGTTGTGGTGCGCGATCCCGTCACCAGGGCGATTTCGGATTACACGCAGTCGATATCGAAAAAGCCGGAGATGAAACCTTTTGAATCGTTGGTGTTCGCGAACGGCTCCGTGGGGGCCCTGATCGACACCTCCTGGGGGCCCGTGAAGCTGGGAATCTACTCCAGGTACTTGGTACGTTGGTTGAAGTACTTCCCCCTCTCGCAATTTTTGTTCGTGAGCGGGGAACGCCTGGTTTTAGATCCGGCCATAGAGCTGAAGCGCGTACAGGAGTTTTTAGGTTTAAAGCAAGTCGTTACGGAAAAGCATTTTTACTTTAACACGACCAAAGGTTTCCCGTGTTTGTTTAAAAGCGAAGGTCACAGCGCCCCCCACTGCCTTGGAAAAACCAAGGGTCGGAATCATCCCTTAATCAACACGGATGTTTTGCAACGGCTAAGGGATTTTTATCGGCCCTTCAACAATCGCTTTTATCAGATGACCGGCATCAATTTCGGTTGGGCTTAGGTTTTTTATTGCTTTTAACTAGTGATGCAACGGTTTCGGGTTTTACGGTTACGGTTACGGTTACGGTTAGCTCTACGGTTACGAATAAATTCACGGTTATTCAAAAAAAAATTACAGAATTACTAAAAATAAAGTTTATTGTTCAAAATAAAATTAACACACACATTCAGTAAAGGTTAAATAATAATTTATGTAAAACAAAAACAGAATTTCTAATAAAACTATAAAACAAAAGGAAATGAGTAACATTTTAAACCTAAAAACAGTAAAGTAAAACCTAAGTAGGTACCTGAATAAAAAAAAAATAAAAAAATTAAAAGTTAATATTCAAAATTAACGAGTCAAATTTTTATTTAAAAAACATAACATCTGCAAATTCTGCGGAATCAGCTGGTTCCTATTTGGTGTTTGCACAAGACCTGCAGTCGAAAACAACCTCTCCGAATTCACTGAAAATGGTTTGTATGATAAATACCTTAGTGCTAACACCCTTAAACGCCGAAAAGTGTAACACGTTTTCCAGAATGTAAACGGATTTCACGTATGTGGTATATTTGGTAACGTTAAATACTCTTCAATCTTCTTTTTACATGCATTCACAAAGTGAAAAACCGTAAATGCCGTATACGGTTACGGTTAACCGTATAATATCGAAAACCGTGAATTAACCGTAACCGTAACCGTTGCAACACTACTTTTAACATCATATGCGTTAATTTTGTTTCACACTAGGCCAATTTGTTTGACCTTTATTTTGCTTTTTATAGTAATAAAAAATTCTACAACCCAAGATTTTTTGCGACGTTGCCAAATTTGCAAAAATCCCAGAAGTTGGAAAATCTTCAGGATATTTTTAGCGAGTCATCTGCACTTCTCAGCGGTGTTGCCAAATTTTTATCTGTTTTTGTAAATTTTTTTTAATTTTCAAAACCTAGTAATTTTTGCAAAGTTGCCAAATTTGCAAAAATTCACGGAATTTGGGATTTTTGTTTTTTGCAGTGTTGTCAAATTTCAAAAAAATCACATAATTTGGATTTATTTAGAATCTTTTGCACTCTTGCACTATTTAGCGGTGTTGCCTAGGATTTGTTTGCGTTTCTAAAAATCCCAAAACTTGAGAATTTTTCTAAATCTTCTGTTAGTCCTTTTGCAATAATTAAAGTTGTTAACAAATTTTAGTGTTTTTTTATAACTTTTATTTTTAATTTTTTTCCGAAAATCACAAAACCTAGTAATTTTGCGACGTTGCCAAATTTCCAAAATTCGCGGAATCTGGGATTTTTGTCTTTTGCAGTATTGTCAATTTTCTAAAAAAACATAAAATTTGGAATTTTTTTTAAAAATCTTCAGGTTACCTTCAGTAAGTCTTGCACTATTTAGCGGTGTTGCCGAATTTCATACCTTTTTGAATTTTTTTTTATAATCAAAGAACCTAGGATTTTTTTGACAGATTTCTAAAAATCCCAAAACTCGAGAATTTTTCTACATTTTTTTTCAATATTTTAATTTGTTGACAAATTATAGTTTCTTACTACTCTGTATTTTTATTTTTTTTCCGAAAATTCCCAAAACCTAGCCATTTTTGCGACGTTGCCAAATTTCCAAAAAATTACGGAATCTGGGATTTTGTTTTTTTGTAGTATTGTCATATTTCTAAAAAATCCCAAAATTTTTAAAATCTTTAGGATACCTAAAGTCTTCTTGCACTATTTAGCGGTGTTGCCGAATTAATATACAGGGTCTTATGTAATTAATGTTATATATTAAAATACTGAATACCTTTTGACATAAGGAATAAAGGAAAAATATTTAAAAAAACATTTTTCCAAAGATGAGTATGAGTATGAGTATAAGAGACCAGCCCCATTTCCTCTTGACTCTCGAACCCCGTACAGGCCTATGTTTACTTACGCCGATTTTTGTTCTTCCCCAGCAACTGCACGGCTTCACCCGTGTTTGCTGGGTGCGAATGTCCATTGCGTTACGTACTGTCCCCTATTTGGGGCTCGAGAGCGAGAGGCGAATAGTTATAATAGCCATTCCCGGGTTCGCCGAGCCTATGCTATACGCTCGGTGGGGTATGGATGAGGGACGGGAGGGAGTTGGTTTTTGGGGGACAATTACGCCGACTTAAAACTAAGTACGACGCGGAATCCCCCTAGACCAGTCGATTAGTATTACTCCAAACATTTGGGATCACTATTTGGAGTTGGGGAGTTGTTATTTCGCTGCAGGGGTGTAGTTTCCTAGTCGATGTCTTTGTCTTGTTCGTTATTGTCATTGTCCGTGTCCTGGTCAGATAGTTCCTGCCCTTGGTAAAGTGTGTCAGTTGTTTTTAATAATTTTTGTCCCAAGCACGTTTTGTGGTAGAGTTCCGTCTTTGTTTATCAAATTCCAAAGCATTGCATTTATTCACTAGTCAAACAAATCACAAGCGCGATTATTCTGTTGTCTAATGTTTACAAACTCGAGTTTGGCTATTAGGCCCTTTTTTTAATGTGTTAGAATTTTGTTCAATGTTAGTTTACTCTGTCAGTCCAGTGTTTATTTTCCGGCTCGATTGGGACCGCCTTACGCATTTGCTGTTGACAGACTTATTGCCCCACGCTGCGTGCCCTTCTTAGGTTTTAAAGATATCCCAATAAACACTTTAACGATACCTAACACCACTAACATTGCCCGTGTAAGAATTTTTAACACTTTTTAATACAATTTTGCAATGATAGTAATTAAAAACAAAACAATTGTTTAAAGAGTAAAATATGTTCTTAACATAATCATATTTTAAAGTCATTTTAACATTTTCAAGTAAAATAAATGTTATGTTTAATGAAATGAATACGGGCAATGTTAATGGAGACAAATAACGGAAAATGCTTGCTGGGATCTATATATATATGTATTTATATTGCAGATTTGTATCAGGTCATGCATACTCTTAAAGTAAAACTTATCAGATTTTTCCCCTTGCGGATGGCCACCTCCCCTCTTCTCCGACCTCCCCCGTCCGTCCAGTGAAAAGCCTCCAATGACAGGTGGCACCCAAGTCATTCATATCACCCAACACTCCACTCCTCAATGACCGTTACACCATTTTAGCTTGCACTCCATGAAAATGTTTGTTTCACTTATCAGTTCGCTACGAAGGCGTAGAAGGGACAATTACCCAAAATTTATTTTTAATATTTAATTCCGACTTAGTTAACTCAGAATTAATTCCCCCCATTTAATTCTGCGTTAGCTAACACAGAATTAAATCCGCCATATTTAATTCTGCGTTAGCTAACACAGAATTAAATCCGCCATATTTAATTCTGCGTTAGCTAACACAGAATTAAATCCCCCATATTTAATTCTGGGTTAGCTAACACGGAATTAATTGCATTTAATTCTGTGTTATCTAACGCAGAATTAAATATGTCGGATTTAATTCTGTGTTAGCCAACGCAGAATTAAATATGGCGGATTTAATTCTGTGTTAGTTAACGCAGAATTAAATATGGCGGATTTAATTCTGTGTTGGCTAACGCAGAATTTAATATGGCGGATTTAATTCTGTGTTAGCTAACGCAGAATTAAATAATAAAAATGAATTTAGCGTAATTATCCCTTCTACGCCTTCGTAGTTCGCACCCCTTTTTTTTTAATTATTGTTGGATTCAACTTTAAACTTTTACGTTTCAAGAGCTCACCCGCACGCGAGTCGCGAGCATTGCTGTTTGTAAGTTTCAAGAGCGCGACGGCCAGATGCAAGATGCGACTAACTTTGACGAGCTCTCGAACGTGACTGGAAAAAAAACATTTTTCCAAAGATAAAGAAAAAAATATGCATTAGAAGTTTCTTATATTTTTTGTGATACGCCACTGGTTACACACTTGTTTACCTCTGCACACCTGTATTTTGTGAGTACATAGATACCAACCAACAAAGTAGCTATGCGTTGCCAGATGTAAAAAATTGTTACTAAAAATTTTTCTTGCAAAAAATAAATACAAACTCAATAAATACAAAAGTTTTATGCCCTTAAAGCTCTAATACCCTTCTGTATTTATTTACTGATCCAGCTATTAGCTTAAGCAATGATTAGAAAATTTAGTAAGTACTTACCTTTGAAATTTGAAATCCATAACCACAAAATTAATTTTTTCATCAGTTTTTTTCTCTGTTTACTCCTTAGAACAAAAAACAACAGTCATTCTTTAGCCGTACTAAAATTGCGACGGAAGTCGGCCATTTGCAAGCTCCAAATTATGACACATTTGTGATGCTATATTTGTCAAAGTTGAATGTTTTATGTGTTTGTCGGTGTTTTATGTTGTTTTTCTGGTTAAATTAACTTTAAATAAGCGTTTCCTTGTTTCTAGACAATATTGTATTTGATATATTCTCGTTTAAGTGTAAATATTTAAAGTTTAAGATATAAATATTAGTGTTTAAGGTGTAAAAACAAATTATGGTTAGTTGTGCAGCTTGTGGTTGCTCCTTGAGCACAAAAAATTAAAAATATTCATTTACATTTCATAGGTGAGTATTTTGGTTAACGTTTAATTTATTTACTTATTGTATATTTTAAAATAATTAGTTGTAAATATTAAACATAAATCAATGTCAAATAACGTAACCTTAGAACATAACCATAACCTAAGAACGTAACCATCATAGAAAA